ATCTCTAGACCATCCTCTGTTTGGATATCAGCCAGCATGTCAATACCTTAAATCAAGAAACAGCTTTCTAAGATCTACAGAGATACTCACAGGAATATATATATACTATAGAGGAATATATAGATAGATACTCACAGGACACGGTTTGTGTCCTTTTTAAGGGCATATGCCGTGGCAATAAAGGCCGCAAAGAAATCTTTCTTCGCGGCCACTATTGCATCTGCGAAGAACCGTCTGGCGGAGCTGTTCCGAGTTGTCAGAGGCCTTTTAAACCCCACCATTCAGGATGGGAGCCCTGACAACTCGGTAGCCTGCTGTGAAGCTTTTGCTCGGTTCTTCGCGGACAAAGTCGCTTTGATTCGTTCTGGGCTGGATGCCATATTAACGGCAGTCTCTGAGGATGTATCTGGAGCATCTGCTTGCCTGGTTTTGATGGATTCATTTCAATTGGTGAAACCCGAGGATGTGGACAAGATACTGGGAGGGATGAGGCCTACCACATGCGTCCTAGACCCCTGGCTTTTAAAGCAAGCCAGAGGGGGATTGGCCGAGTGGGTAACGGTGGTGGTTAATGCCTCCCTCCGGGAAGGCAACATTCCAGCGAGCTTAAAACAAGCTGTAATAAAACTGCTGTTGAAAAAACCATCACTGGACCCCACTCAATTCGACAACTTTCGGCCAATTTCCAATCTCCCCTTTTTGGGCAAAGTCCTGGAACATGTGGTGGCTTCACAACTCCAGGTATTCTTGGACGACACGGATTATCTGGATCCGGCGCAGTCTGGCTTCAGGCCGGGACATGGAACTGAGACAGTCTTGGTCGCCTTAGTGGATGATCTACGCCGGGAGCTCGACAGGGGGAGTGTGTCCCTGTTGGTGCTGCTGGACCTCTCAGCGGCCTTCGATACCGTCGACCACGGTATCCTTCTGGGACACCTCGCGGGAATGGGCCTTGGAGGAACTGTCCTACAGTGGCTCTGGTCCTTCCTAGAGGGTCGATCTCAGAAGGTGTTATTGGGAGACACCTATTCTACCTCACAACCATTGTCTTGTGGGGTTCCTCAGGGTTCAATCTTGTCTCCTATGTTGTTTAACATCTACATGAAGCCGTTGGGGGAGATCATCCGGAGTTTCGGAGTACGGTGTCATCTGTACGCAGATGATGTCCAACTCTGTCACTCCTTCCCACCTGCTACTAAGGAGGCTGTCGAGGTCCTGAACCGGTGCTTGGCCGCTGTAACGGTCTGGATGAGGGCGAACAAATTGAAACTGAATCCAGACAAGACAGAGGTACTCCTGGTCAGTTGTAAGGCCGAACAGGGTATAGGGTTACAGCCTGTGTTGGATGGGGTTGCACTCCCCCTGAAGACGCAGGTTCGCAGCTTGGGTGTGATCCTGGATTCATCGCTGAGCCTGGAACCCCAGGTTTCGGCGGTGACCAGGGGAGCATTTGCACAATTAAAACTTGTGCGCCAGCTGCGCCCGTACCTTGGGAAGTCTGACTTGGCCACGGTAGTCCACGCACTGGTTACATTCCGTATAGACCACTGCAACGCTCTCTACGTGGGGTTGCCTTTGAAGACTGCTCGGAAGCTTCAGATGGTCCAGCGGGCGGCAGCCAGATTGCTAACGGGAGCGGCACTCAGGGAGCACACCACTCCTCTGTTGCGCCAGCTCCACTGGCTGCCAATTTGCTACCGGGCACAATTTAAAGTGCTGGCTTTAGCCTTTAAAGCCCTAAACAGTTCTGGCCCGACCTATCTGTTCGAATGCACCACCCCCTATGAACCAGTTAGGACATTAAGATCGTCCGGGGAGGCCCTGCTCTCGATCCCGCCAGCCTCGCAGGCACGACTGGTGGGGACGAGAGACAGGGCTTTCTCAGTGGTGGCCCCTCGGCTGTGGAACGCCCTTCCCGCAGACATTAGATCGGCCCCCTCCTTGCTGGCGTTCAGGAGAAGAGTGAAGACCTGGCTCTTTGAACAGCCGTTTAATTAAGCAGTGCAATCAATTGATTGAGATTGGAACTTGGAATAATGGACGAGGAGATCAGATTATGACTTTATTGATGATACGTGATGGATTAGTTATATGAATGTATTGTTGTTATATTGATGTACTGATGTATTGTTATGTGATTTAGTTGCTCTAGTTGCTGTTTTTAAATGCTAATGCTAATGTTGTGCACTTTGTATATTGACCTGGTTGTAAACCGCACTGAGTCGCCTACGGGCTGAGAGAGTGCGGTATACAAATAAAGTAAATAATAATAATAATAAATATATATATTCACTGTAGAGTGGAAGCTACTGCCTTAATAATCAGTAGCCACACCAAGTGAATCAGGTGCAGCAGGATGCTGTTTCTAGCCCTTTCCTGCCAACAATCGGAGGGATGATGAAAGATTGCTACAGGGGTCTTCTGATTGTGGCAGACTTTCATGTTAGTAGGATGAGGATGGAAACATTGTACTGTACCCAACTGCCAGCAGAAAAGCCCCCTATTGGTCAGTGTAGCTGCTGCCTATTAGCTAGATTTAGGGAAATCAAGCCAAGAACTCTTACTTAGTTATATAGTCATAATTAAGAAGGCAACATAGGATTTCAGCCAATGTTAATCATTCTTACAAACCAGCAAAGCATCATGCAGTAGTTGTACACCAGTGTGTGATAACTGGTTAAAAACCATCATAGATAACACTGCATTTTTCACTTTTAAATATACACACATATAAATATTATAACTGTATTGATGGAAAATTAAAATGTTTGGCAAAATCTGAGTTCTTTGAACAACAGTGAAATAATATAATAAGAAAATATATAAAATAGTGTAATATATATAAAGAGCAATTTCAGCTCTTCAATATTATGAAACCAAGCTGAAGTATAAAGAGAAATAATCGAACTAAGGACCAGTATCTGACAGAGGAAGTCAGAGAAAGGCCAGTTGTTATTACAGAATGATTCAAAACATGAAATATTCTCAGTTGCGGTATTAGGAATAATATTTTACAACCTGAACCAATCCCTGATGGTTGCCAAAAATGTCAATAAACACCCAGCAGCTCAGTAACCTACTGGATGCTTGAAGGTTAGCAGGAAATGAATGTGGCAGAGAATAACAAGATAGAACACAATTTGTAGAGGAAGGGAAATTTGAAGTTATGACAAAATTGCTACTGGATACTACTTGAACAGCAAGCTATGTCCCCCCCCCCCCCCCCCAATTATTTTCACGCAACCTACCTACAGCAAGAAGTGTTCTGAATATTTTAAAGATTACATATCATCCATGCTCCAAGGATGTAATTAAAATATAAAGCTAGTGACCAGGCACAATAAAGATGATTCCTGTTGAAATATTCTTTTTCAGGCAGAACTAGAGCTACATGGATGACTTACAAATCCAGGTGTGAATAAAAACATCCAGAACTTTCAAGCCACACAAGTTATTACAAGCTCTATAGCAACTGTCTCTCCTACCCCAACACCCTTGAAATATATTATCCTTTAATCTCCAGCATCTTTGTCATTTGGTGATGAAAGTTGCAAGACGTCAGGTTCAGGAAGAATGTACTGGGATGTAAATCCTCAGCTGCTTAATCCTTGCATGTAATACTGAGCAATTACAGTAGGTGTCTTGGTATGTCAGGAGAAAATGAATATTCCTCTGCCATATTTTTCTTGTTTTTGAATGCAGGCTTTTGTGCAAAAACCATGTTTTTCTATTAAATATTAAAAATAGTTTCCTCCTGTCCAGTAGTACAATGGGAATCCTGTTTCAGACTGACGGTCTTGCATGCTGACAGGAGAGGGCTGGAAATTTCACTCTCCTTGCAACTTCATCAGCAACTGAACAGGCTTTCAAGTGATGCAGCTCCTGGCTGTTAAGGTAGGGCTGTGTGGAGGTTCATGTATGTATTCTCTAGTATTGAGTATTTGAAGGGACCAAATCCTTCTGCCTAATGGTAGGACTGGTTCTGCATATAAGTTCCATACATTCTAACTAGGAAGAATGGGACATGCAGCCTGATACTTTATCACCTCCATCTCCTTTGGGCAGATTTGACATCCTTAGGCTGCTTCCAGACAGCAATTTATCATTGGAGAAAACAGGTTAAAAGGACCCATTTTCTCCCATGTTGTTGTCCGTATGGGCACCCAAAAGAAGCGGGCTTTCTCGTGTGTTCTCCCAAGTGTAGCACACTGGGTTACAATGGGGACAACCAAAATCCCCCATCAAACCTTTAAAATAAAAGAAAAACTTGCCAGGCCACCACTGGGCCTCTCACCATGCTTCCTGGAATGTACCAATGTAGCACTAAGACACCGGGGAGGGGTGGGGAGTGACTCCCTCTGTATTAGCACTACATTGGTATTTTCCAGGATTTGGGGACGAGGTGGCCTTCCTCTTCACTTCTCCGGGCCCAAAGAAGTGAATTGGGCTGTGCGGACTGATGTCTTGGTAGTCCCATTAGACCGGGTCTTTCAAGAAGAGCAGTGTCTAATAGAGTATCATATTAATTAGGTTTTACTAGAGATGTTGTTTGGATGCCTCTGGAAAAACCACAGGAGCTCCCGTGTTATGGGCCCTGTCTCTATAGGCCCTTAGAGGCATGCTGGACACTTTTTCTGCCTCTCCTGTCTTGGGACAGAAGATAAACAAGTTCTACCACAGCTTCTGAGTTAAGCAACAGTAGATACTAGATGTTGCTAACCAAAAGCAATATCAGTTTCATTTATTTAAAGAAAGCTTTTCCAGAAGTTTGTCTAATATGAAAAAACTGTCCTTGTCAAACCAAGGGAAGCATGAGGTGACAATGCTGCCTGGCTTCTCAGACCACGATTTCCATAGTGGCTGATTTTGCAAAAGTCGTAGAAGCCAAATAGGTATGAGAAGAGATACAGTTGAGAAGAACATCTTTAAATGTTCTATCGCACAGCTGCAACAACCACTTGCACACTTCCATCCCACTCTGGAGTTACACACATACAAGCTTGCTTTTCTATCATTTTATTACATATGTATACAGAGACAGAAAAATCAATCTATGTGTGTTGTTCATGTGTTTTTCCCATACAAAAGATTTCCTTTCATGGAAAGGAGGAACATCAGTCATTAAAAATGGAGTGACTGCAATCAGTATCTTACAGCTGAACAAATATTGACAGCAGGTTTTCATATCTTCAGTAGATTAAAAGCCTTTAAACAATAAAATAAAAATTCCAAACTGCAGCTAAACTAAACATAAAACAGAACCTTATGATGAAAACCAATATATGTGTGTATGTCTGTGTGTGTGAGAGAACTCTCATATTCAAGAGACTCAAAAGAAAATTGCATAATAACCATCACAGTTCTTGGAGAATTTTCATTAAGACACATTTGTATCACTCTTGGTCCAGCTTTTCATATTACCTTTTCAATAGGAAAGAAAAGATTGTGGGGGGAACAGTATTCATCCAGACTTTAAGCAACCTGTATTTAGCAGGATCACTCCTGGATTCCATGACTCCCTGGGAGAGCAAGCCCTCATACTGGACACTATCATATTATACCTGTCTTGAAAAGCTGGGTCAAGGCACATGAAAAATTGCAGGATTTTCTTTTTCACGTACTAAAATAAAATAAATATGAATATATGGGTTAAAAACAGAGAAAGTATATAATAGCCTAAAGCAATGTGCAACATGTGAAGGGAACAACTCGAAGGGGATGCTACTAATGTTTCATACATGTCCTCAATGGATATGAAAGTTAGCATTTGTTAAAACAGGAGGGAGAAGGTGCTATAGAGTAGATTCAAAAAATAAAATTACCAAGAGGATGACTGGAATCCTGGGGCCCTCTAGGAGCCCTTTCACATTGCACAATTTAAGCACTATGCTTCCATTTTAATTACCATGGCAGCCTTATATGGATTTTTGGGATCTGCATTTTAAGAAGGTACATTTAGAATCCCTAGCCAGAAAATTCTAGTATCTCACTACACTGCAACTCCTGCATTCCACAGAACATAGTTGTGGTAATTAAAGTGGGACCATACAGCTTTAAGTGTGCAGCGTGAAAAGGCCCTACATCTTGATGGGTGACAACTTCTCAGGATACTGAGAACTGCAGTCCAACACCATTTCCATACATAGGCCTTAGGGCAACTAATAGGTTTATAACAATCACTAAAACTCAAACTAGCAAAACTAAGAAGAGGCACAATCTATTGGGAAGAGGTCCTGCCCAAACTCTACAGAAGGGAAACGTTCATTAATTTTCATGGGGGTTGTGAAAGAGACCTTCTTTACAGGTAGTTCCCAGAACCTGTGGTTTCCTTCTCATCCTTTTTGCAAGAAAATAAAATGTGTCAGAACAGTAACCTTTCATCTGCATCCCTCCTCCCCCTGCTCCTCCTCTTTAAATGCTTGGAAGCAGATAAAATAAAACTCCTGTAGATGTTACTGGTTTTGCCAGCCCTACAATTTTGTGGGAAGTGGGTTTCCTTGACCCCTTAATTTATCTCTATAGCAACGCCAATCTAGAAGAACATGTTCTAGGGAACAAACTTGGGGTAGACAAAACAAATATTATACTGCAAAAAGAAGGAATAATATTATTAAGATAATCATATGTTGCTTGAATTGCATTCTCAGTTTTGCCATCAAAGCACACCTGCACTTGAAACAATGCAACACTACATGAAAGGAGACAATGAAAATATATGGAAATATTTAGAATGGGTTAACTCAGTTATGTACAACGCTCGTTTGCTTCTTTTTTTGTTACCCAACAGTGGGGGTCAAACAAGAAAATACACAAATAACTTAATTAACAATTGTGTGAGTAGGAAAAACAAGTGTATGACTGCTTGATCCAGATACGAATGCAAGTGTGGGGCTTTAACATTGTGCTGGTTGTTTGGGTCCTCCACTTCTATAATTGGGGGAGGGGGAGAGGAGGAACAATGCTTTCAGTTTGATATTTTGTTTAGGCTAGCATTAAATAATTCAAGGTCAAATGCATTGGCTATTTCCACTTGTAAGCAATTGTATGTGTACTGGAATAAGAGTTTGGGAAGTAGTGATAAAGGGCTAATTTAAATGGACAGGCAATGAATCTGACTTGAATCATGCCTCCAAATTTACTATCCCAATTGAGGGGGGAGTTATGTCACTTTATTTCATGTGGCAGTGAGTGAAACTGAAGTACTTTGGAAGGACTGGGGGTTACTGGAAAACTATGATAGTGATGGTTTCTTTTTCACTCTGGAAAAGGAAACTATTGGCAGAACCTGGAAACTTAGGTCAAAATGTAGAACTATGATGTGATGCTGAGCTACCCAGAATTGTAACCACCCTTCAACCATAAAATCCCTCTCACTCCTTCTACTCAAAATATATTGGTTTGTGCTGTAAAAATTCAAGAGAAATTTGGCTCCATGCTAAAAGGTCATTTTGACTTGTCCATACAGTCAGTGAGTGAAAAACATGAATGTATTAACTGGTCCATGAGGGGAGAGCATATTAAGAAGATATGAAGTATACTGTTACATTGTTCATAAAAGTTAAGGCATCATTCTTGGTGAAACAAAGAAAGGATTAAGGAGTATTTCAGAATTAAGACTAATTCTGGAATCAATCTTAATTAACAGGATTCTTTCCCTACCTTCTGTTCTTACCACCCTATGGAAGGCTGTTTGTATCTTAGTGAAATCAACTTCCAATGCACACTGAACTGTCCATAAACCTCAAAGGAAAGTTGTCATATTTCTACAGTTCTGGGAAAGTCATAAAGAAGTCCTACAGAAATTGCTGGCATGTGTTATCATTTGTAAGCAATTTCTGACATTTTTACTTCTAAAAACCAACTCACAGTTTTCTTATATGTTGCCCTACAGCGCAATTCAGCACCTTACAAATAATCTGGTATAAAATGCTACCTGTATCAAATAATAATCTGCAGTTGACTTTCTGGTCACTTTTGCAGGAAATGGCTTTGATTTGGAGAAGCAAATGCTAAAATAAGAAATGGCATTCAAACAGCTTCTTGAAGATTTAAAATACACAATAATAAAACATGTCAACAGGTATCACTATTATTTCCAAAATATTTGGACATACACACTGAAAACTGCTTACGACACAAGGCCATTGCAGTGCATACTTTTGGCAGATAGTTAATGGAGGGACATCCTGGGAAAGCAATCTTCCAAAGAATTACACACGATGAAGCAGTGTGGGGGGAAAACCCACAATACAGCAAACCAGTTTGTCTTAAAAAAGTAAGCAAATATAGCTGTGTGTCTGCCAAGTGTGTTCGTTAGTGTAAATCATTTGCCCACCAGGCATTTTAGAGAGAAAGATGTTCTTGCCAATGGTTCAAAAGCCCTCCTCCAATACTGGAGCAATGACAACTTTAACTATTAACTTGCACTTTGATCAGGTCTGTTGAACAAAAAAGGATAAACCACAGAGGGGCAAGCAATAAGCAGCTTTCCCACATTATGAGGTATAGAGATACAGGGAGAGAACAGCTTCTCTTTCCCATTTGACCATTAGTCATTTCATTTTTGCAGATGCTGTTCAGCCAGATGGACCCAAGTGCTTCTTCAGTGTGATCACACCACAAATTCCTCTGGAAGCTGATCTTCTCCCAAGAGGTCCAGAGACAAACAGTTCATAGATCTCTTTCCATAGAGAGCTGACTTGGTTTTACAGTCAGCTGTTGAATAAACACATCCATAGCTGGCCAGTTTGTCCTCTAATGCACAACCAAAGGTGTAGCTGTGGGAGGTATCTGAAGACAGGGTGGCACTGAGTGGTGGGTGAAGACACTTGTGAAGACGAATGTCATCTAGACTTTGGCTATGCTGGTCAGGGCACTTCGTAGCTTTGGGCTGTGTAATCTGCCAGTTTAAGAAAGGCACATATTAAAAAAAATGAAGCAAACAAGTGAAAGAAAAAACAAGAGAGATCGCGTGTCTTCAAGTTCCCAGTGCATCTCCATCCTGTCTCAAATTGTTAACATTCCTCTTGCTCTCTTTCAAGAAAATTGTATTAATGAAGAAGCTGTGAACCATCACAGAATTGAAAAGCTATTCAACTATTAATGCCCAGATTTTTCTCAACTCAGGACATATTGTCCTCGGATGCATGTACAATGAATGGATTATTGGAAAGGAATCATTTGGCTGAAATCACAGCTCTTGCTGGGGTTGGAAATAAAGAGGGCAGAAAAGGAAGCACAGCCAAGGCCTATGGTTACATTTTAGTAAAAGAAAACCTACACATATTTAAGCATAATACATTCAAGGTTAAATTTTATTTTCATCTCTGTCTGAATACACCTTTTGGATTTGGTCACTATCTAATGGTGATTCTACTCTGGTTGAAAAAAGGACAATAATGGCAGGCATTCAAAGGGACAATACTGCCAATTTAAGGTTATGTTTTCAAACAACCATCATTGCTGATCATCATGTTCAGAACTTTGAACCACCAAGGAGCATCTTGTCAGTGACATATTTGTAATTAAGTATGACTTACACCCCCCCCCCCCCCCCCCCCCCCCCCCCCCCCACCAGAAGAAGGGGGCAACAATTCAGACAATGAGGATTTGGGCTCCCAAGGGATGGAAAATGAAGGTACTCTCTAAAAATGGATTTCTACCAAAACCGCTTTTAAATGGATGGGTCTGTTTCCCCATCTCTAATGACATCTTTTAATTGCTTTCTAATTTTGCCTGATATTTTAATCAATATTTAACTTAGCGAACTAAGCCCCATTAAAAAAAAAGATATATGAAAAATCTTATAAACAATATATTTAAAGTGCCACAATTATATATACTATCTTTTTAGTAGTGTTCAGAATGATGTGTAAACTAAGATGTTTTAGCATAAAATGGTATAAAAGAATCAAATCACACCTTTGAGACTAGAAGAAATTTCTAGTGCTGGTTTTCATGAAAACATCTAACAAAGTGGACTGAGTCCTCAAAGGCTGACACTAGAAACTACTTCTTCCAAGTCTCAAAGATGCTATTATCCTTCATGTATTGGTATTTGTGGGTAGGACGTGTATTGGTGTTAAAACAGAGCTACTGTATAAATGAGATTGGTTTTGTCGATGGGTCATAACCTTACCTGAAGGGATTCCACACTTTGGCCTTTCACTTTTATTAACGTGACTTGTACTACTGAAAGATGGTTCTTATTAACATCTGTCAAGAAGAGAAGATGGGAAGAATCAGGGTGTGAGATTCAAACTCAAAACAAAATATGCATCTTGAAACTTGCAGTTCTAAGGCTGAATATTTAATTACACTCAAGAAAACAGTGAAACATATTCAGTCATGACTGATTTTAGTCTCACAAATATTGGGGTGTCTATTCTATGTATGATGAAATCCAAAATCAACTTAGACTATGTTGAAAAATGTAATATGCAATAGCCAAGGCCCTTATATAATGTAAGACTCCAGAGGTCCCTGTTCACCTTCCCTTGGACTCGTGATTTTTTGCAACTGTGATTCTGTGACTGGTAGAGATCTGCAGAGAAAGGACCTAAGAAGCGGGTTGTATGGGTTATATGGCCATGTTCTAGAAGCATTCTCTCCTGATATTTCGCCTGCATCAATGGCAGGCATTCTCAGAACGTTGTGAGGTCTCACAACCGCTGAGGATGCCTGCCATAGATACAGGTGAAATGTCAGAAGGGAATGCTTCTAGGACATGGCCATGTAGCCTGAAAAACCTACAACGACCTAGTGATTCTGGCTATGAAAACCTTGAACAATAGATCTAAGAAGCTTTTGGCCAAACCTCATGGCCAAATACTCTCCAATTCCATTTGTTCTGGACCACCCACCGAATGGCTGCTCACAGGGGCTGCTGCAGCAAACCCAGGCATGTACCCGGGGGGGGGGGGGGGGGGGTTGAGGCAGCCCCTCCCCCCCCCAAATTCTCATGGTGGTTCGCGAAAAGGCCTTACTTGTGCATTATTTAAACTGTTATGTTATTCATATCATGATCTGATCACCATACTCAATATATCCCATATGCATGGGGGTATTGGGGTAATGATACAAAAGGTTTGCTAGGCTAGACCCTCTTTCACTCAGAATCAGCCCCCCCCGAAACTCAGCCCCCCCGAAACCCCCCTGAAAAAAATTCAGCCCCCCCCCCCGAAACGAAATCCTGGCTACGGGCCTGAGCAAACCCATAAGTCTTGTGACAGTTACAGGCCACCAACTTTCTTAAAACTACAGTGCCTTAACATATAACTTTTTTTCACTTCACTCCACATGCTAACCCCTTTGATGTAATAAAAAACACATTACTGTAATTAAAAATAAATTACTGCAAACTAGTGTAAGATTAATAAAATTTATTTTGGGTAGAGAATTAAGAAGCCCACAAAACAGGATAAAGACATAAAAAAATAAAAAGAAGTATGCAAAGATCATCTCACCTTCGCAACATACACCATTTTCTGAATGAGAATCAACAGACTCTTCATGAACCACTTCTTCCAATGGAGATCCATCCACTGGTACTTCTTCTGGTTCGTCTACTACTAACTCAACTTCTATAAGTTGTGAAAAAGAACTCAGCATAAAAAACTCATCTTTTTCTAAGCCTACCCAACCACTACCAGGACCTCCATCAGCCCTCTGTCCTTAAGCCAGGTGGAAGAGGCAGGATATCACTACCACTAACTCATTTCCGTCCAAGTCTTACCATCATCCTGAGAATCTTCTTCTGCTCTCTCTTTGCCACCACTATCAATGCCAGAACTGCCACAGCTGATATTTGAGCTACAAGACTGGTCTTTCTGATGAACCCGACTCATAACAAAGGGTTCATCCACTGACATCTCCACAGAGATCCGGTGTCTTGAATCAGTCTCTATGCCAGATGTATGGGAGCTGCCATGGCTATCTGTTGATTGTCGAGACAACCGATTGTTTCTCTCACTGCCTCTGCTACTTCCACTGTCATGTGAATGCTTGTCTGATGGATCAAGATCCATCTCCAATGTATCACTGATGTAGGATTCCCGATATCGTTTCTTCTCTGGAAGTAAAGGACAAGATGTACAAAAAAGGTAAGGTAGGGAAGAGGCTACATTGAATATTATACTATAATCAAAATAAATAAACCCCACATGCAGCATCATAACAGGCTGGGACCAACAACACATTTAAAGATATTAGAATGTAAAATTCTGGTACTGTAGTTATGCAAAAGATCTAGGAGAGATAGCCCGAAGACACTCTACTACTATACCCTCTCCCATAGCCAATCAATGTCCAATGGGGACATGGCAAGAATTGAGACACTTGTAGTGGCCTTGCTGCCACTGTGTAGTTGAATATATATATATATTGTACACAGAAGTCTGAATTCCTCTTTATGCAATGTCTGAAAAGTACTGACATTGGCATAATACCTGGCTATACTAGAGTAAATCAAAAGGAAAATGTGGGAGCATCCTATGTAATCCTTAAAAAAAAGGATTACATAGAACACATCTGAAAAAGGTTGAAATATACCTATTTATTTGTTTTTCTACTAATAAATCTTCTGAGCACCTTCGGCACACTAGAATAAGTCACTTGGGAATTCTGGGTCAAATCTACCTGTCTCGAAACTAAAAAAACTTGAAAGTAGATGCACATGCTAAAGGAAGATTATTCCAAGAAATCAAGTGGGGAGTGGTAGTAACCATAACATAACATTATAGTGCTGCTTACATTATACAAATCCTCTGGCTCTTCAAGATCTCTTGTGCTCAAATACCCCAAATTAGGAGGTGAAGGTGTGGAGAAAAACTAATACTTGAGCAGAAGAAAACGTGAAAGCTGGACAAATATATGGAAAAAATGTCCTAGCAAAAGGATACGTTGATGTCTACAGAACTTCAGCATTTATTCTGAATGCAGAACTCAAGCTGTTGTGACATAGATTTTGACAAGCAGTATGAATGCACAATTCAGCTACAAATGGATAATAATAGAAACAGATCTAGTTCCATGGACCCCTGTCCACAATCATCTCAAGACTTAAACAGAGTATTTCAGTGTAAAAAAAGGTTCAATGGCATGCTGAAGCTCCTGAGCAGACATCACCAAAGACCATTTCCACATTGTGATGTTTCAGCTTGAGGAGTACATGGTTGAAATTTTGCTATGGATTTAGCTAGCTTCAGAAGCATAAACTTGAGAATGATATAGACACATATCTTGTCATAAGTGCTGACTCGTTTCCATAGCTCTCCACAGTACTACTGTTCTCCGCAGATCAGCAGTATAGCCCTGAAACAAAAGCTCATGTGGACTTTGACAGCCTTCATGTGAGATCTGTGTAGTACACACACTGCCTTTTTTATAATACAGGTTTTTTTTTTGTTGTGTCAGGAGTGACTCCTGGTGTGAGAGAATTGGCCATCTGCAAGGATGTTGCCCAGGGGACGCCTGGATTATTTTGATGTTTTTATCATCCTTGTGGGAGGCTTCCCTCATGTCCCCGCATGAGGAGCTGGAGCTGATAGAGGGAGCTCATCCGCCTCTCCCCGGATTTGAACCTGCGACCTGTCGGTCTTCAGTCCTGCCGGCACAGGGCTTTAACCCACTGCGCCACCGGGGCATCCAGTAATATCCCCCCTTGTGCCTAAATGCCTAATGGCACAAGATTCTATCGGATTTTAGAAGCTAAGCTGGGTCAGCCCTGGTTAGTATTTGTATGGGAGACCACTAACAAATACCAGATGGTTATATTTCAGAGGAACGAACTGACAAAACCACATGAGTATTCTTTGCCTAAGAAAACCCCTATGAAATTTAAGGGGATATCATAAGTAGACAAATAACGTGAAGGCACGAACTCACACAAGACCATGTTATCTATCAGGATATGTTCCTTGTGGGTGCCTGAAACCATGGGTAGTGTTGAACTAGTATCTGCTTGCTCAAGAGAGAAAAAAAGCTGAAATGCAAGCTGGCAAACATTCTTCCTCCTTTTCACCATTGTCTCCTGTTCCCTGAAATTTTCTGAACTGAAGGGGAAAGCAAACAAGTACAGAAGGCTGCAGTAGTTGAGAGACTGTGGCAATGCACTTTCCTGCATGACAGGACCTTGCCAAGTGCCCAAACATGCCAACTATTAATTCCAGTCCCATATTTTTCAAAGGGCCAGACCCTCTTGCCTCACAATGTTTTGATCTCCACTGTGTTCACACTGCATAAATGATAGCAATCTGAAGTCACTTTAACTGCAATGACTTCCAGAATTCTGGGATTCTGGGGGGAGAGGGTGGGCTTCTACTTCAATCAGTTTACTAGCATCTGAGTACCAACTGAAAATACAAATACCAGGATTCCATAGATGGTGTCTGTACAGAAGTTGATTATAAATTGTATGACTTTAACTGTATTGGTGTATAGATTGGCTGCAGTAATGCTGGAGCGGCCTAAGTCAGAGGAGTGCGTTGCCATGGAGACGATGCTGTAGAGAGAGAAGTGGGAGGAGCTTAGAGGGGAGAGTTTGAAAAACGACAGTTAATGTTCAGTTAGGGTTTTGGAGTGGGAGTTAGCAGTTGAGAGAGAGAAAGTGGGAAGTAGAGAAGCAGTGTTTGTGAATAGTCGGAGGTTTCTTCAGTTTAGGAAGGCTGAAGGGGAAACCTAATTAGTTTCATTAGTTAGAGAGGACTAAGAGAAGCTTGTTTACATCACTAGTTAGAAATGAACTAGAGATCTGGGGTTTGATCACGGAAGGATCAAACAGGAAGGCTATTCACCTCAGGAAACATTGTTTAAGAAAGTGCTTCACCACAGTAAAAGTCAATTACAAGTTGTAACATCCAGAAGTGTGAACTGTATTGCAACCAAGTTACATGTAAAGTTCTCAAAGTATTTCCAAGTTTATCAACAGCCTGCAACCATACGCTTTGTTCAAAATAAACTTGTTCTCTTTTGTTTGAAGACTGCCTCATCTCCATTAATTCTGCGTCCAGTGTGCCATATCTCCCAATAATACCTCACATCACACATTGGTGGCACCATTAAGAGTAATAAATAATAAATCGTCCCTCCTCTCTCCTAAGACGTTACAGTGTCATGTGTGTCAAAAGTGTTCTATGTAGTGTGGATGCACTTTTGGTAACTTTTTCAATGTTTTGTTAAAATTGATGACTTTGCATTTGTCCAATGTTTGGTAGCTGGCCAGGTCCTTCTAAAAAGTAAACTTGGCCATTGTATACCTTCTGCATCTTCCATCAATTGGATCTGCTTAAGTACAGGCTGGATGTTAAGAAAAAGACGGTGACTGTTGCTGAGCAATTGCAGCAAGTGCCGAGATCGAAAAGGACAGCCGGTATAGTATACCAGTTTACGGGCAGAAGGCAAACCATCAGGCTGGATCACAAACTTCTTCCCCTGATTGAGAAGCAAACAAAACAGAAAACCAAATCAAAATAAAACAAGGTTAGAAGAAGAAAGAAGGTGAGGCTTTAATAGAACATCTGAACAGATTTTAAAAATGGGAACAGCAATCTATCTAGCCCTGTAGCAATTGGTCACAGATGGCATCACCACCTATGACCTCATCAGATGCTTGGTTTTCCCAGTCTTAGCATGCTGATGAGATAGGATCTGCCAGAGCCCATCAAATGATGCAGGGCTCTGTATCAGCGGCGTTCCAGCAGCATGTTGAGAGGGAGCCCTGAAGAGTCAGGTGACTACCCATCTCCAATTGAAAAAGCCAGGGACAGGATGGAAACCTTGTGGGGTGGCAACCCACTAAGGGGACGAAGGTGAGCACTGCTCCACTGTTTTCCCCACTGTCCCCAGGCTTCTGGGCCTCTATGTGATTAGGTTACAGTTTACAGCTTACAGTTTGAGGCTGGTCTTGCTTAAAAACCCAAGATTCCAAAGAAACAATTGCCAAACGTGATCCTGAGACACTGAATGCACAATATTTATTCTCCACCACAGATATAGCTGCTTCCCACAGTATAGCTTACAGCTCTTGTCTTCAGAAACATTCTAAGAAACTGTCTGCCTCAATAAGGTCCTAAATAAGAAATATCCAAAGTGATATCTTAACTACACATCTGATCATAGTGGGGTGAAGACACTGCTCAAGCTGGGTCCTTTTGTGGGGCTTTTGTTCAAATCTGATCATTTTTCAGAAGCAATGCAATACTTCTACATGTTGCAGACAAAAGGGTTTATTTTAATGGGTTCAATTATATGCATGCCCATTTCCAGGTAAGTATATACAGAGGAGCCAATGTGATATAATGGTTTGAGTGTTGGATTATGACTCTGGAGACTAGGATTTGAATCCCTGCTCAGTTACAGAAACCCATGGGTGACCTTGTGCAAGTCACACTCTTTTGGCCTCAGAGAAAGGCAAAGGCAACCTCTTTCTGAAACATCTTCCAAACAAATTTTGTCAAGAAAAGCTGATAAGTCAATCAGAGAGTTGCCATAAGTTAGAAACCATTTGAAGCAGCCCATCAACAACTAGAACGCCAAAGTATACATAGGGCTGTAGCCTAAATTACACAATTTATTATCTATAGTTATTTATTTATTTATTTATTTATTTATTTGCTACATTTGTATACTGCCCCTCTCAGCCCGCAGGTGACTCGGGGTGGTATACAAATAGTTATTCTATTAAGAAATGACTGTCATCTTTATATATTTGCTAACCCTAGAATATTCAGAGACCATATGATTCAAATAGCAGATAAGCCAAAGGACATGGTTGCGTTCTGCAAAACTCACCAGAAATGCAAGTTTCCCAATATATGACCAGGGGAAATCATAGAGAAGTTGGCGAACATGGTTCACTTCCTAAAAGGGAATAGAATATAAGACAAAAAAAATCTTGTAAGGTTTACAATATAGCATATTGGGACTGAAAAGAACTCACAAACTATAAAACAACCAGGGAATATGTGGTTCCTCAGATGTTCCTGTACTCATGGCTGGTGGGTAGAGATTATAAGAGCTCAAGTCCAAGAATATGTGGAGGGACATAGGTTTCTAAACTGTGGCCCAGAAAAAGGGTGGGAACCATAAGGCACATGGGTCCACCAAAACATCCAGTGATGACCCAGAACCCATATTTTTAAAAATGGGTAGGTTAGGTAGATAGGCAGGCATGCAAGCAGACAACTTTGAGCCTAAAAATGGGGATTCATTCCTCCAGATGTCTCTAGGGGGCAGAAGAGTTCATTTTATCATTATTTCAAAGATACAGTATATGTTTTAAATGTTAAAATAACCTTTTCTCTCCCTAAATAGGTTGTGGCCCACAGAAATTTGGAAAATCAAATCAGTTGAGATGCCTTCTGGATCCCCTGCATCTCCCACCTCTGATCTCCAGAGTTAAGAGCACACACTGAAGCTGCAGAAGCCGCATGGTAAAGAAGACAAAAAGAGACTGAGAGCAAGAGTAAAGAGAGTAGCAAAGTCACTGTCATCTCTTCAATTCTAAGTTGCACTGTGTTTTTAAAGTTTTTTTGGGGTGGTGGTGGTGGTAATGTGGTAATTCTACAGCATAGTAAATTTATTTGCATTATTTCTACCCCACTCATATCAGCCCGAAGGCGACTCTTTCTATTTCTTACCTGGTAAATGTGCATCCCTTTAAGGGTTAGACCTAGGATGATTGTAGGGCGCTCCTCCTTCTTATCCTGAAAATACAGAGTGATACATGTTGAGAAAAAACTCTCTAGCAGTACAGCTCTTTGGTTACCAATTCGGGTGCTATTGGCCCACTAGGACCAATTTGAATTCTGGAACAATTCTGACCTGGTGCTGCACTTAAGAGTTGCAGGTAGAAATTGTACTCAATGTGCTTTTTTAGTCAGCTACATTTATTTTAAAGGTTCTTCTTGAGGTTCTTGCCTTTTTATGTATTGTTAATTCTACAGACAGACAACTGAGATATATTATATGTGGTGCTGAAAGACACAGAAGCTGTAGCTCATCTGTAGCTTTCTAGATGTTCATTGGACACTAACTGTCACCAACTCTCACTAGCCAACAGTGAAGCTGATGGAAATTGTAGTTCAGCAATAATTAAAGGTTTTCACATTACCCAAACCTATTTTAATTGGTAAAAAATGTTTCTGCCTTTCAACTCCAGAACAGTAAGTGGAAGCATGACCAAACAATTCTGGGTAGCTTCTAGGATAAGGATAGGTGATGCTTTGAACCATTACAATGATTTAGTGGGCTGAATTTACATAAACATCCTCCACTCAACTGCAACTAATTGAGACCTGCCTTGGTCTGTGTTTTGTTACTGTATGAGATTCCGTCAAAATCTCATTGCAAAGCAAGGTGTTTTTTGTTTTTGTTTTTTAGTGTCGGCACTGAAGTGTTAGTAAGATTATTCCTAATGGCTACAATACCTTTTTATTTGTTTTGGGCTTGGCTTCATGTAAGCCGCACCAAGTCCCGATCGGGGAGATGGTGGCAGGGTACAAATAAAGTTATTTTATTATTATTATTATTATTATTATTATTATTATTATTATTATTATTATTTACAATACATTTTCCCCCTAGCTTATTGCCGAAATTCTTCCTCATGATCCCCACAACATAAAAATACATACTATGAATCTGTTTCTCAAGCCCATTAAAAGAAGAAGATTCATGTCTGTCCACACCCTGCAGTATTTCAAGTCAAACAGGAACTCAAGTATTAAAACAACCAATTTCAGCTGTTCTGCATTCGTGGGCACGAGGCATGTCAGCTCTTGCCGCTTGTATTTCTTTGTTGCAAAGACTTGGAGTAATATCAAGCAACAGAGATTAAGTGGAGATCCAAAAGCAAGCATGGGTCATAATCCTATAGAAGGAAGAATTGCATGGGCAAGGTTTCCCTCCTGATGCTGTAGAGAGCAATACAAGATCAGGAGTAAAGGGTTATTGTTATAGTTTGTGATCTGTGATTCCTTCAGATGGCCTTTTGCTTTGAATGAATAACAAAAAAAATCTTGGTGTTTTGGTTTTTAGACCTGCTCCCGGGTGCTGATTCAGAAAAATGTATTGGCCAGACTACATCATCTCTATTTTCCGAGATATGGTTATAACCATTTTCTATGGGTGACCAGATGCCATATGCTAGGTATCTCAAAAACTAGAGCTCACTGTGGAAAACTGGTGCCATTTTTTGAATAAGCAGATCAAATATATCCAGAAACAGGTGTAACATTTGAGGCATCAACATTTTTGTTGCCCAGTGTAAATTTGTCCTTCAACAGAATAGAGTCTTTTCAGTAATATTACCTATAGGCCAGGGTTAAGTTAGAGGTGGACAATATGTAACCTAGATTGGTGGGGGGGGGGGGGGGGGGGGAAGGATGCATGTAACCAAAGGTCCACACTTTGCCCACCATTGTTTTAGAGCAGTGGTTCCCAACCTTTATTTGACCAGGGACTGCTTTGACCAGGGATCACTCTCCAACATTAGAGCCAAAAGGGTTACGAATTGGTTTTTGGTTAACTTGAGATTTGGTTTGGTTATTTGGGGTGCATTTGATAGACCACATTTGCTCTAGTTTCTAATACAGAACATATGCCATGCAGTAGTTGCTATCTGCTCACCCACAGAAAACCATATTTAATAAGCCTTGGCACTATATGGGGTTTTGTGAGACCAGTCACTGTAGTTGCAATGGCGTAGTAATGGTGAGGTCGTGGACCATATTTTAGTTCTGTCGACTACTGGTGGTCCATGGACCACAGGTTGGAACCACCGTTTTAGAGGTTCAATAGGTCAGCCTGAGTGCAGCAGCATCTAAAGCAAATCCAAATCTGATGCCAACATTACCAGTTTTTTTCCATCAATGGAAAGTAGACTGTCTCTTCCATGATCTCTCACCTTTGGCCAGACTGGCTAGGACTGATCTTAGGGTCCACAAGATTTCCAGTCTGGTGTTAGCATGTAAGGATTAGATCCTGAATTTGTCTTATGGGAATGAAGGGGCTCCTTATATCTACAAGAAGCTTTCGAATCACCAAGAAGATTTCATTTGTAGAACAAGGGGTCAAACTTGTTTAGTTCCTCATTCCTAAAGCTGTTTCCTGCACTTTCCCAAATTTGCAGAAAGTGACATTAAAGAGTTTGCAGAGGAAGGAGAGAAGCATTTCCCCCTTTTCTACCTGTGGGAGCATTCTTAGTGAATTCTGTTCAAAGATACTCCTGCCATTGGAATAGGAATTGCACCAGCCCCAATAGACACAAGTTTACTTGTGGCTTTGTGCTTGACTTTAAAAGAAAATTCAACAAGGAACACAGCTTTTAAATTCAAGCATCATGCACTTGAAAGAAGCTATTTTGCTCAACCTTCTGCAATCTGTAGAAGTGGACAGGCACGTCTTCCAACAAGCATGATTCCTTGACATACTGCAGGATAGCTTCTTTGGTTGACAGGCCTTGCTGTTCTCGGTGCATTTTTGGAGCATGCTTCAGGATGTAATCACTCCCCCGCTTTGCAATTATCTGCCACAAGGGAAAGAGACAAGTTTAGCCGTTTCCTTAGCATCCCTTCAACAAGGGGGACAAAAGGAGAAATCTGGGGTGCCTTGCATGGTATGTAAGGCTCAGAGAAAGCTAAGCCTTTCCCATCTTAGAACTGCTTTTGACTACTTTTGAAACATGGAAGAGAACAGTTTTCTGTAATCTGATAATGTCTCTTCAAATGTCCTGGACTACATATGCCCCCAAGACATACACAAGGATTTTCTTCATCGTCCTATTGGGTGCTCCTTCTACTGGAGTAGGGGTCCGCAAATCTTTTAAGTGGAGGGCTAGTTCATGCTCCCTCAGACTATTGGAGTGGTGACTTTAATTGTGTGCGGGTGCTTGCACACCATGGTACCCGTGCATGCATACATCAGCCATGCCACACACCCACACTTGCCACGACTACTCATATTCACTCAATCTCACTGCACACCTGCTGCTGTGGGCACACACCCACTGTTAACACTCACTTGCCTCTGCTGTTGCCACACACACACACACATGCTAATGACACATGCTTGTGTGTACATGCACCGACCATACATGGTGGTAGTGGTGAGGTCTGGGGAAAAGCCCTTGGTGGGCTGGATTTGGCTCACAGGCCTGAGTTTGGGGATCTCTGTATTAAGAGCAGGAATAAGCAGCTTCAGCCTGGCCAGGGGATCATTGCATGCTTCCCCCTTTTACCTGAATTATCTCAAAATCTTTTTGTTTTTTAATATCTGTTTTTTAAAAGTTCAACAGCACAATGTAACTCCCTTTCCCCGTGGGGCAACATATTTAAAAGGAGGAATATCACTTCTGGGTGCTTCCAGAGGAGGCAAATCCCCTTCATTTTTCTATTCTGGAGGCAGAGAAAGTGGTCTGGACAGTCCAAAGAGGCTGTAAACAGTGAAAACATCCTCAGGCAGTCACATATAACTTCAGGGCCACACTGTGTCCAACCTCTTTTAGTGGACTGGTATGTGCAAGTGCAAAGAAGAGGACTTTCTGAGCTGAGAAACCCTCTCTAAGGAGACACAGGTCTGGTTTCAACTTCACAAGGGTTTTTTGTGGTGCTATGTAAAGCAGTTGTTTTCTTAAAATAAAAATTTTCAGACACTGGAAATTTTCCCAGAGACTGCTGTTGCTGCTACATTTTGCTTCAGGGATATTAGAGTTAATTGTCAATTTATTACTTCTATTGTGAAATAATTTAAAAACCCCAAAGGCTAGAGGTTGTCATATACATGTTTTAAATAAATACATATCTCAAAAAAGAAGTGTTAATAGTTATGATCTTCCAAGTGAACTCGGAAATAACATTTTAACATGTGTGCTTCTTTAATTAGAAAGCAAATGAAAAATAAAACTAATAACTATGACTGAGATTCTATTATACGAGACAGTTGCAACTGATATCTGGGTGATAGGGCAGAAGGATCTTTCCCACATACCCCTTCCCACGGACAACTGGTGGTCATTGAGATCAGGGAAGTGAAGCTGTGCATGTGCTTGGCACCATTTAGCTCCCAATCCAGAGGTGAGGAAATGTTGCAAAAAGAGGTACTGGATATTTCCTTGCACATCAGACAATGCATTTCTATGGGCAAAAGTCCATAATGGCGCTAGTGTACAGACACCAGGATATGGCCCAAAGATCATTCTGTAAATATTATTGTAGCTTCTAAAGTGGGTCCTCGTCAACTAAGGTAAAATTCAGTCTGGAAGACAGAAATCCACCAGTTGCAAACTTCCCACTTCACTGAAGCACAGAGGTAGAAGCTCTTGAAATTCTTTCTTTGCAACAGTGACAGGGAAACAACTCCATTTTTTTATTTAGCCCTTGGCTTTTCTTTGAAGTGATGCCAACTGATCAAAGCTACTATGGAAAGATGTCTGCAGATGGATATGGGGGGGGGGGACCTATAACAACAGTTAAACATTTTAGAAGCCAATATTGCAAGATTCATCAATAGTTTCCATGTCTTTAAAACTTGTGAGCTTCTTCTGTCATAGTAATTCAGTAATCCAAGAAGGATGTTTACATGTTTCAAAGCTGGCTCATGTGACCTACATATATTCAATTTTTAAGAAAAAAGCATAGCAAAATGGGGAAAGACTGTGATTTTCATTGTGTTTGGAAAAAGTCAGGTCTCCCCTATATACAATTGTCTTTGAATTTAATATGGCTCCTTCAGTTGGTCTCAGAAGGATATAGAAAACTAACTGAGATGCTTGTCTAGATAAACAAAAATGGGATAATATGTTGGGTAAAATTCCTTTTACAAACTGTGTCTGTTTCAAGAAGAAAACATACACAAACGTTCTATTGAAATAGCATTTGACTCCTCTATGAATTTCAAAGATAAACCTCAGTCTTTCCTCCCTTTGCTGGCGAGGCTGGAAACAGAAGAACTGATATCAACATTTATGGTAGTTTTGTAGTAAAGTACCTAACTTTTGTGATGAAGCAGATATATCGCATTACTTAACGTTTTACAAAGACTCGAATTAGTTCTCCTAGGTTTCTTTTCTAAGAATGCAATGCAAAGGGAGCTCATAAACCCTGGGCTGCTTATTTATTAGTAGTTGCCAAGGTGGTTATAATTCAATTTTGAAAAGACCTAAAAATTATTATTATTATTATTATTATTCAGTTCTTGTGGGTTTTTTCGGGCTATATGGCCATGTTCTAGAGCAGCGCTTCTCAACCTGGGGGTCGCGACCCCTTGCGGGGTCGCCGAGCCATTTTCTGGGGGTCGCCAAGGCTCCTCGGTTGGCCCCGCCCCTTCTGCCTCTCCAAAACGGCTGCCGGCCATTGGTTGGCTCCTCCTCCTCTTTCCACAAGGCTGCAGGGAGTCAGGAGGAGGAGCTTGGAGGCAAAGGCGCGCGCGGCAAAAGGACAACAACCCAGCTGGGTGAGAGAAAGGAGAAGTCAGTGCCAAGCGAGCTCTGAGAGGAGGAGAGGAAGGGGTGCATGGTTGCTGTGTGGAGAGGGCGCCACTTGCCTGTGCTGTGCTCTCTCAAGAGCTCTTTCTGGGCGCTTGCCTTCCTCCTCTCCCACGACAGCCTAGTTTCCCACTTCCTACCCCAGCCTTAACTCTCCCCAGTCCCCCTCTCCCACTTTTCCAGCTCCCTTTGCATCCCAGCTTTTCCCAGGTTCCAGCCTGTCTTCCCCATTTTCCTATCTTGCTGCTTGTCCCACTCAAGTCTTCCCCAGACCCCTTTCTCACTCTCCATTCCAATCTTTCCAGCCTTCCAGCCAACATTCTGCCGAGGGGAGAGGGATTGGGGTTTTTTGGGACCCAGGACTCCCGAGGAGCTGCCTGGGGGAGATTGCAACATGAGCAAGACTGGGG